GTAGTAATTAATTTTTGAAGTGTAAATGCAAATTTTAATTTTAAAAACTGAATGTCATTTTGGGAAGAAGAGTGCCCCATGAGCATCATGGGAGAAAATATCGGGTGTAATTCTCTTCCAGATGGCACCCCTACAGGTGAGGCAGCAGCCTGTGAAATTACAGTCTGAATTACACTGCAGATGAGCAGGGCATTTGGAGCAAAGCCTTCTGATATCAGTAATAAATGACTTGGTTCAGAACCAAGGACAATTCCCAGGAAATTAAAGACTCTTCTCTCACGTAGGGAGCCTATAGTAAAATGAAGTTTAGCAAAGTGGAAAGTTGAAAGAAAGGACAATAACAGTGACCAATACATGTATGAATCTTTTCATCTGCTAATATTTTAACTGGACATTTTCATCGATCTCACAGATGTTATGTATTGTTTCTATATATGTTCTAGTATACTGGTTGATTTTTTTTTAATTTAACATTTTTTATTGATTTATAATCATTTTACTGGTTGATTTTCTAAAGTAATATTTTTCACAGTGAATGGTAGCTAAGAGCCTCTTGCCAACTAAGTTATCTCTCTGAAATATTATGAATCAGATACCTACTCTAAATTCTAATCTTGTTTATTAGTATTCTCTGTGGCAAATTTTTTATTTCAGAACACTTGAGCTGTTAGTTACAAATGTAGTATAATACAAATACGGTGTCTTATTTTCAACCAGGTAAATCAATTTAAGAAACAACATAGAATAGTGATTCAGAACTTGACCTCTGTACAGACCTAGATTCAAATTCTGACTTGTTTCAACAGTTTCTGTGACTATAAACTTTTTTAAGTGCTAAGATTTTAGATTATTTAATATCACTAAACCTTAATTACCTCATCAGTTAAATGGATATAACAGGAAAATGTACTTTAGGGAAGAATTAAATAAGATATTTCATATAAAGATAATACAATAAACTTTAACAGTTTTCACCACTATTATTTAACAATTTTCACTACTTTAACACTTTTCATCACTAGAATTTTAATTTTAGAAAGCAAAACAGCATTTTAAAATAACTGCTCTTAAGTTATGTGCCATGATGGAGTATAAAGCAGGGTAAAGAGATAGAGTTTGGTGGAGGAAGCAGAAGATATATGGAGACATCAGGAAAATCCTTTCTGAGGAGGTGATAGTTGAGCAGATATCTGGATACTAAGTGAAACAAATGACAAATAAAATTGTCAGTCTTCATTGAGTCTTAAATGATGTAGCATATTTAGGAGACAGACTAAATCTGAATATATCTAATCTGTTTTTTTTTTTTGAAGGAATGCTTTTCTATTGATTTACTTGTTCAGTTATTTACCCCAAAGTTTAGAAACTGCTTTGACAGAATAGAAGCCTTACCGCATACTTCTACAAGTAATATCTGACTACAGAAATGAAAAGATATCAGAAATACAAGAAAGTATTGTTTTTAATTATACACCAATGAAGAGAGAAAAGGAGATTATAAAACAGAATGGGAAAAGGTGAAGGAAGGAAGACTTGCTTCAGTCTTCTGCTTCTGTCCATTTCTCTCAGCTCTACCGGGTATAGTTAATGCCATATGATGACTTCTGCCAAATCAGAGTCATGTGATACAGTCTTTTACAGATTTTATGTATTAACTCTGTGCTAAATCCTTTACCTGTATCAACAGAAATGTTTGATCATTTGCTTTCAGAAACTCTATGACCTAATAATGTTGGCTGACTAGAACATGGGAAGCAAAGGCATGGCATTTATGAAGTGGGGGTTAGCTGCCAGGGAGGATTATCTTTTCTCACGTTTGTTTGCATTCTGTCTCATGTTGAGTTTAGCAGCAGAGAGAATTGAATCTTAAGGCCAGTTTTTATAAGAGGATCTGAAAATTATCTAGTATTATTTTTCCAGCTACATGACCTAAAATAAGTCCCACAAGTACTGATTTCTCTAATGTGAAAATTAAGTTGTTTAAACAGTTAGGACCTTAGAAACTCTAATACTGTTGGATCAGGATTCTAATCTTAGCTAAGGTAATCATTATGGCGTAGGTGAAAAAGTGCTTATTGGTGTTTATTCTTCTAAATGGAAGCAGATATATGGGAAAGTCTTAAGTATAAATAGCAAAGTTCAAAGTATTAAGTAAAATTGACTTTTTTTGCTCAGGGCAAAAAATCTGATCATCTTTGCAAGAAGAATCTTAAAGTTGGAATTGGCACTAATTAGGCCAACCTGATCAGATTATTTTGATTGAGTTTTTAAATTTTGTTTCTTAATTTTAAAGAAATTTCAAGCATTTTTAAGAAAAGTTTTTTGTTTATTTATTTTTTAAAATTTTGTTGTGTGCACACATATACATGATAGTCTTGGCTGGTCTGAAAAAAGAAGTAACACCTGAAGAAAAAAAAATGGGAATTTCAGTTTTGACTCATGGATTTTAATATCGGACCAATTACTAATTAAGTGTTATATGATTCTGGACAAACTGGTAACCTTTATTCTCTAATTTATTCAACGTAATTTAAAAATTCTTATTAGCCTTTACAAATATACTTTTTTAAGTAGCTCTTAATTTTTTTTAAACTTAGATTTACTGCTCCAGACCCTTTTACATTATTAACATATTTCTCACAACAACCCTGTGATGTAAAATACCGTTGTTATTGTCACTTTACAGATGAAGAAACTGAGGCTCAGTGATACTAACATGTCCATGGTCACATAGAGAAAGGAGCTCCGGGATTTAAATCCAGGGGTCTACCCTTTCAATTGGTACTATTGATACTGACTATACTACCAATTTAAAATGCGGTGTAATTTAATCTCTGATGAATGGCTAATAACTTTATCTTAAATGCAGTAAATGAGCATGTTGCTAGAAGGAGCTACTTTCAGTTATTGATTGAAACAACTCTTGATTTATTTGTAGTATGTGGAAGGAAGATGGAGTTTGAGCATATGGAAGAACAATACTTAGGTTTAACTAACTGCTTAGAAAGAATAGTATTAGAAACAGTTTGACACAGTGTCAGATCAATAACAGACTATTTTTTTTGCTCTCTTCTAAAAAAAGATTGGACTATAATGAATACAGTTTTTACTAAAATGTGAATTTATTTTATGTTAATATTTTTAACATGCGGCAGTCTTGCAAATAGAGATCATTTTTCCCCAGTCTATTAACATGTTTTACCAGCAGATCTTTTTCCTGTAAGGTAAATAGGTGCCTCTTTTTTAAGTAACTTTTTGGCATAAATTACAATTAAGTTTAATCAACTGATGAATGCTTATTTATAAGCATTTGTGTGCATACATCTGCATGAATTATGTCAGATTGATAAAGAGTTCTTAGTTGAATTCCAAAAGTCATTTGTGTTTTGAATACACAGATGATATTAATGGGCAACTAACTTAAAAGATTTAGACGTATTACTGAAGTACTCTATCCAGGAAAGCAGTTTCCATCAAATCCTTAATTTTCCTAATGTAAACACATTAATCAAAGAGCTTTGTTGCTAAGTCTTTTTTTTATAGGCAATTATTTTCTCATCAATGAATTAATGTGTTGGAGGGAAAAGGTAAATACTAACGTAGAGTTGCTGGCAGCAATTTAATTAGGCTCCTTTATAAGTGATTCAAGCATGAGAGCTGTCTTTTCAATAAATTAAAATTTACTGTTAATTTCTTGGGAAGAATATCCATTCTGGGGTTGCAGGTTTTTACTGTTCCAGAGAAACCTTTAAAACATTTTTGTTCATTTTGTTAAAGACTATTGTATTGATGCTGTCAGACAGTTATTTGTGCTCAGAACAAATGAGTGAGGACAGTTTTGATTTAGAATGCCGACGTTTCGGCAACATTCATGTTGGTTCACCCTGAGCAGTAATAAGGTGTATTATGTGCTAAGCACTGTGCTGAACACTTTGACTTTCCCTGCTGCTCAGGGCTGTTGGGGGTTGGGCCCCAGAGGACTGATGGAAACTGGCATTGATCTCTCACTCATGATTATTTTGACATTACTATGATAAACTACATGTGTAGCATACTATTAGAGTGTACTGTGTTTGTAGCACCAGTAGTGGCAAGTTGTCTTTTCATTGTTGCTATGGTTATCCTCTTGGTAGAGGAGTCATTACTGTTCTCCAAAATCTGGAGTAAACTGGGGCCAAGTTTCATGAATTATATTTCAAACAACAGTAGTTGTGTACGGTGTTAACTAGAAAAAAAGGTCTCTAGTCAAAAAGTGGGCAATGCTTGGTTAAAATATGTTCAGCGTGGTCCTTTTTCCCATAGCACTTGTCATAACTATTAATGTGCTGATTTGCATTATGAATCTCTAAGAGGAGGATGTAGTGTCTGGTCTTTCTCACCTCTTTAATTAAAGATCCCCATCCCTCCTGTTTTTTTTAAAACTCTTCAAAGAGAATGTCATTGGGCAGGAGATGCTTTTGGAAAAGGTGTTCTAGACCAGGGTTTCTCAACCTTAGCCCCATAGATACTGGGGGCCAGACACTTCTTTGTTGCAGGGGCCATCCTGGCATTGAAGGATGTTTATCAGCATTCCCTCCCTCTGCTGAGTTGTGACAATCAAAAATGTCCTCCCCCCAGGACAAAATCTAGATGAGAACTACTGATCTAGATTCATACTGCAGTATTCCAGGGAGTTACAGGATACATGAACAGTTTCTGTCTGAAATTTTCCTTTTAGTGAGAATGAAACAATGGCCTGGAAGGTGGAAGCATGGAAATGGAAGATTTAGTACATTCTACCATAATGAACTTTCTGGATCCATTGTATACCGTGGCCTGATTTTCTAACAATTATTATATGGAGCATTTACTGAAAAAAAACTTAAACTTTGCAGAATATTGTATGGTAGAGACAAAAAATATATTTTCTATTAAAAGAGTAGCCCAGATATTTAAATTGATCTACATATGATGATATTGCACATTCCTAAAATCCATTTCTTCTTTCTTTTTCTGTACAGGGCTATTTTCTTCTTTTTGAGTCTATGTTAGATTCTGTCCTTTATGCAAAGAACAAATACTTGGCAAAAGGAGGATCGGGTGAGTATAAAATTCTGGTTTTAATAATCTAATTTTAGTCTGCCAGGACCAGATAAACCTTTGGATTTCAAATAAACTATGCATGACTGAGAAAGTTCCCAATAGAGATGAAGGATGTTTCCATTAGAGGAAGCTTTAAGACATTCGTTTAGTATACTTTTGATAGTAGAACATTATGTAAGATATTCAGACTCCAAGTTAATGGTATTCTCATGAACACTTTTAATAAAAATGCTAAGGTAGATTTGGAAGCTTTTTGGTATTCAAATAAAAATCTCGCAGAAGCTCTTTTTGATATTTAATCTTTATGACATTTAGTTCTTTGGGTTTTTTTTTTCCCCCAAAAGAATATTTCATACTAGTTTGGAGCTCATTCTCTTTGGTGGCAAATTTTCTATGACTTTACCAAGTATATAAACCTGGCTTTTCTGTGCTTTGTCAAGAATATTTAAATAGTGACTGGTTTCTGCTAGGTTTTTAAAGCACAGCATACCCCATCAGTATTTTTAAGTAGATTCCAATAAATTTGGAAGGCTTTCTTTTCGGGTCCATGGTAAACTTTTAATCATATTAGCTCTGTATACTCAGAGTGAGGTGCATACTCCGAGTGTGATTGTGTTTTTACAGGCTTTCTTTTCTGCTGTGAATGGTTGTATACAAACAGAATGTTCTCAGGGATTATGTTTTGCTTATTTTTGGCTCTTCAGCGAGCTCTTCAGCTCCTGGAACATAGAGCATCATATGTTTATTGCATTGAACCATTAAAACTAAATTGAATTGCATCAGTCTCCCTTTACTCACCTTTCCCTGCACCTACCTGTTCTCAGAGCTTCAGGATCAACACATCATTTCCATGGTCAGAGAAAGTTGATAAAATAGTGATATGAAAGTGAATGAAAAGGAGGATACATTTTGAACTAGTGTCATAAAGCACCTGACCACACTTATGCCTCTTGCCCGTCCGTGTTCTATGAAATTCCTTTGGCAGTAAAAATCAGTAAGGCCAAAACATAAAGCACAGACACTTTTCCAGTACAATTGAGTTCTTTTTATAATAAGTTACCTTTCCTTTTCAAAATGCCCTCATTTTATCACTACATTTTCTGCACCCAATTTAAGATGTGTTTCTGAGCTCT